GTTAGTACGACTCGTGACGTCGCGGAAGTTGGTTGTTTGTTTTGTGGTGTTCGTTGTACCGTTTCGTCGGCGATGTGATCGGTTTTAAAAGTGACGTGCGTTTTTTCGTACACATTATTTCGCGTTTTATAGCGGTTTGACGGTTTATCGGTATATCGGTAATCTATTAAATGTAAACGCGGGGAACGCGGAGTACGTCCATTTCCAAATTTTGGCGTTAGTCGGTATCCATCACGTTCTCTCGTTAAAATTCGATCATTTACCTAGTTGATCGGCTAAATTTTTGGAAAAGAATCGTCCAAAATACATCGAAATTCGTCTATAGCGTCTAATTGAAGTTCGATATCTATCGATGTCGTTACAACGTCTTAAGTCGAATTGCAATAGTAACGTTCCTCTATTCTTACTTCCGCGTTCAGAGTGTGGGAACAGTATAATAAAACGACACTTGAACACGTTTGATCATCTCAATTATTCGTGCTTCTAGTCGGATGGTCAGTGTTTAACGGCGTGTCAAGCGGCTGGTTAATTAATTGCGTGTTATACGATCGGGACGACTAACATTCGTCCCGAATATTTAGACAGGAGGCGTTACTATTACTTAGGCTTCGAAAAAACGGCATTACGATCTGAAGTTGACGCATTAGCGGTCGTGCGCGCGCGCGTGATCAGTTATTCGAGTGTAAAAGAATTTACGTCGTTACAAACGCGATTCCTACGGCGAAAGTGAGCGACGGTAGTGTAGTAAGAGAGGAGAGTGGATCGCAAATAGAGAACAGAAACACGGAGGCGAGTTTTTTCACGAGAGAGTCTTGGAATCGGAGTGTTTCCAATCGAGGACGAAAGAAAGAAGGCCGGTAAAACATGTCGAGGCTGTTGAAAGGCGAACCGACGGGCGGTTATATCATTGACTCTATCGCAGATCATCGAATGTATTAACCCGGCCGCAAATGACGCGTATCGTGGCGTAAGCGAAGAAAAAAACGGTGGCGGAGGACGAGCACTGGACATACATTGGGAGAACAGTTTTTTGATCTAACCAAAGAAAGAAAAGCAGGCCAGGCATCGTGCCTCCCACTGCCTACCGGAAGTCATATGCCCATACACGCGCGGAAAACGGTAAATCATCGTAGAAGCCATCGGCTATAACGAGCGTACACGTTTATTTTGCATTGGACCGAAGCACGCCTGCCCCTTCACCTCTGTTCGTTTTGTTTTCCTTGGTTCGCCTACCGTCATTGTTTCGTCTTTTTTTTCAGGTATGTCGACAAAACAAATATTTTGCCGATAATAGTATAAAGCATACATATCTATATATATACATATATATACATATTGCGCATTTAATATATATGATTTCTTTCTATTTTTGGCGTTGTTAATAATGATGTGATAATGATGTTAATTCTTCTCTAAACTGACAAAAGTAAATAGTTTGCTTTTCCTATTATTTTTGGCGATAATATAATGATATAAATAAGACGAAATTTTTGTTATTTCTTCTCTTTTTCTTTATATTCACATATTCTATTCTATCAAAATATGTATATAATAATTTTTTTAAAAATTTTTATTTTGTATGCATTATACTTTTTATAAATCACTGCTTTTTATTTATTATACTATAAGTTAAAAATTAATGTAAATGAAAAGATCAAAGAATTGAATAAAAAATAAAATTTCGTTTGATCAATGGCGACATTTCATTCATATTCTCATTCTGACAAATTTCAAATGTTAAACATAAAAGAAGTTTAGCAAATATAAAGTTTTTAAACCCACGATATAAATATTGCGATTTCAATTTCTCTCGTTTTACATTTGCTTTTTCACAGATTTTATTCTATTATAATCGAAATTCTTGCAATTCTAATTTCAAGTATAGTCTCGGCGATATTTTTCTGATTCGTTAAAAATCTGCCTTAATCGCGTACAGTGTCCCCCTCTTTCTTCATCTCATTTTCCCGCTATTTTATAGAGTCACGTGATCGTGAAAACAGTATTTCGACGCCATATTGTTCGGAGTTTCTTTTAATTTACGTTCGTGTCATTTTCGCGAAATTTCGTATATACGTGCTTTCTAATTTATATTCGTTAACGAAAAAATGATTGTACAAGTGAGCGAGTAAGTGAGTGATTATACAATTATTGGATTCACGTCGTCACGATTAAAAATTATTGGACAAAAGGTACAGGAACGATGGTAGAGTATCGACATGTTACTGCAGGTACGAAATGATCTGGAACTCGGAACGATGTGTGTTTCCTCCCCTCGTTTCTCGTGTGCAGCGGCTGTTTTCTTTTTCCTGTCTCCCTCCTTTCACCTTACTCTCTGTCCTCCTTTTATCCATCCTTTTTTCCCATCCTACCTCTTGTTCCTTCTTTCAACCCATAAACAACCGGTGCCCGACGTTTGCCGAGGTTATTGGTTTTTGCGAGGGGCACGACAGTGCCGTATACACGCGTCCGGCAGACCCGATTTTTACAGTTGCATTTTCTTTCTCTCTCATTCTTTCTTTATTCTTGCTTTTCAATGTTTCCGATCATCTTCTTTTTCCGTCCTTGTCTATTTTCGAACGCGAACACGGCTATGCACATAAAAGAGAGACATATACGACGTATGCTTCACATGAATAGCGATAGAATTCACATGAGACTAATTCTCAGAGACAAACACTTTAATTATAACGTTGCCACGCGCGTATACCTACGTGTCGCACGATCGCGATATCGACGCTTTTATTAAACACAAGCAAGTTCAACGATGCTAACGCTATTATCCGATTACCGACAGAGCGTGCCATACGTACGTTTAAATTTGATATAACGAAGCATGACCTGTTGTATTTTCTGAATAGACCATTCTTTGATAAGTATTTCCTCTGATAAGTACAATTTTTTTCATAGTTATTTAATTAGTATAAACATTTATAATTGTTACGATTAACAAAGCTTTCATTTTTGTAAATAATATATTGGATTATAGGTTAATCAAACAACACGTTAAGCTATTAATTAAAGATAAAACGTAATATCGTGTAAAATCGAAATATAAATCTGATGAAAATTTGTTTCCTTAGAAAGATATTAATAAAGATCTGGCGATGATAGATATGAACATTCAAATTATGATATCGAATCGTTAAATTATATTTATGAGCACGTTCACGACATATTCGGAATTAATGGAAACGTATTTTGGCTTGTTTGATGTCATCCATGTTGTCAGTACGAAATTTGTAAAAATTTGTATATTTATCGCGCGTTAACATAGCTTTCGGATACTATGCCAAGAGTATTGCATATTGTACACCTAGTAGTATCCTGACCGAGGTTAATATACATATAAGTACGCATAGTTGTACGTAGTCTATTGAGGGCTTGTAGACGTATTTGGTTACAATGTTCTCCGATGAACGTAATCGCAAATGTAAGATTGTATTTCTGAGATCACTGTAATTCAGATACCGTGTTGAATCAACAAGTATCGTGTTGTCGATAGGTAATGCGAATCGTTGATGGTCACAGAGATGAGAGATTTAAGTCGATCGGAGGAAATTCCACGCGATGATGGAACGGAATTAAGAATTGCGGATGTTTCGTGCTCTATCGTGATATCATGGTCACCGGGAAAAATATCGCGTTAAACATTGCACGCGAAAACCGGCGATAAAGAACCGATTTTATACACGTAACAAAAGACGATGGACGATAGTAAACGATGAAGCGAGAAATCTAAAATATTAATCGATCCTTATGGTTAATTTAATTACACTAGCCACCGCGAACGTCGACCTCATACCTTTTCCCCGTTTCCCTATTTTCTTTTGTCTCGATGCTGCGTGTCAATTTTTTTTCCGCCTCCGTAACATCCACCCTGTATACATCTATCGAGTACGCGACAGGGGATGCACGTGTACCATACCAAAGCCGAAAAAACATTGGCTGCACTTTCTGCATCGTCGTCCCGTTGATCCGTACGCGTCACGTAGGTAGCCGGAATACGTATACACATCCTGATACCGAGTTTCGGGAATAATGGCGGTACCGCGTCCTGCCGTCGATTCATTTTTACCCAATTTCACGCACCGGTACATCGCGACCCAACCACTAGTCGCGTACATTCCCCCGCAACATTCGCGCGCCCCGCCAAAACTTCCCTTCGAAATCGTCTCTGCTCTCTATTCTTCTTTATAGCGATTCCATCCTTTTTTTCTCTCCTCGTCCCTTCTCTTCTCCCCGTTTCTTTTTTATCCCGGTTCCTCTCGGTCGAAAACCGCGTTGTCGCTCTTAATTTTCGTCGCGTGAGAACGCACCCTGTTTTTGGCGTCGCGCTCCATTTTCGCGGTTCATTTTCGCCCCGTCGTGTACGCGTAATGCGTTTTTCAATTGCACATCCCGCGTTCCGCAATCTCATCTCGCGATCTCGATAGAAATTTACTCGTCGCGTTCACGGGCGACGCTTTTGCACGCATGCATGCATTCTTCATATCCTTTCCGTTACTTAAACCGGATATAATTTTAATATACTTTACGTAAATTCGTTTCATCGAGAAATATCTTTCTCGCTTCGTCCGTCTTATTCGTGATTATTTTTGTCTTGATATTATTCGTATCGATGTATTGTAGGGATCGAGCTATTGGTTTTTTATGAATTTATTGAAATTCTAAATTGGTGATACGAGTGACTGACGCGTTTAAAGAGAATTTATTAGAAATCTGACACTGACAGATTTAGGTAAAGAACAAAATTGATATGAAAATGTGATACAATATACATTAATCATGTGCAGTCGGTAGTGTATATATTAGTATATGTAGATACACGATTGCATTTATTCCATGTCGTGCTCAAATCTTTTTCTCCCTTTCCCCCCCCCCGTTCTTCTGTTTCTCTATATATACGATACATACGATCCTCGGGCGACTAACACGTCGTATTCATATTCAAATCAAGAAGCTATTTTAGAGGCGTCTATTTTATTGGAAAAAATTTTTAATTTCCATATCTCTGGTCGAGAAATCATCGTTGAACCGATCGTTGACGATATTCGAAAGCGGATAGAATTTAGATAAATTTCATAGTCTCATTATCATGGTGGCTTTGTATGGCGATTTACTCGATTCTAGCCCCGTCAACATGTCGTAATGAGATTTAGTTGCCACGGTCGCGATATCCCTTGCTCGATGTAATTGTAGCAGCTAACGTTGCGTAAAGCGCGCCTGAGGTAATTAATAATTTTACATTAATTATGCAACGGTATGGTTTAACGTTCTAATTAACGTCGCACACCACGGACAAATACACTCGTATATTTTTTTTCTATAAAATTTTCTCCCCGTCTCTTAATAAACGCGATACGAATGGCCGCGCGATTTCGTTTGCTCCATTTCGAGATTTTCCTCGCGGATATATTTTTGTTACCTCTATATCCAGCGGTTTCCGGTCGATTTTTTCCGCTAATTTCGTGAATTCCGGCTTAACGCAGCTGATAAATTATCCAATTTGCACGGTTCCACGGTTCCCAGCCGAGGAAATTATTTATGCCGCGCCAGAGCTGACGAAAAATCTCGTACGGGGCGACATGCCGGTTAAATATGACGCGATACGTTCCGCAATTCCCTACCCCCAGGAATTCGCGTGATAACGCGGACACTAAAATACTACCCCAAGGGATGGGTAATTTTTGGTTACTTTTTCTTTTTTTTTTCTTTTTTCGTCTTTTTTCGGGGGGGAAGATACCTTGTTGTTGTTGTTGTTGTTGGTGTTTGCCTTCATAAACTTGCACGAAACGTGTGCACTGAAACTTTCTCTTTTCTCTTGAAACCGGGATTCAAGCGGGATTATATGTATGAATGGTGGACCACTCGAAAATAAAAGCACGCGTGGTCGAGTGAGTCGCATAAGTTCATTGCTGAACGAAAAAAAAAAAAAAAAGAAAGAAAAAGGAAAAAAAGAGGAAAAAAGAAAAAAAGAAGAAACGAAAAAAGAAGAGGGGAAGAGGAGAGAAACAAAGGAAAAGGGGGAAAAAAGAGAGAGAGGAAAAATTTATATTTTAAATAGTGAATGAAATAGGGATATTTCTGTATTCCTTGATGACAAAGCTCTACGACGGGACTTTTAATTAATTAAAAGTGAGCAGCAGTTGCCGTAAGCGTGCGAGGCCGCTCCCAATTTTCACGCAATTATACTCGTTGTCCCCAGTTTTGTAGGACATTTTCCGTGACTAACGGGTAAACGCCATTGTTGCCCAGTGAAAATGGATTGATGGAAACAATAGACGAGGTAGAGAAAAAGAGGGGCATAGCCGGAAGAGGGATGTGGATAGAGAAAGGGGTAAAGAGAGTCGTGTCACCAGCGGCCAGTATCAATTATTTTCAAATTACGAATTTCACCGTAGCATAGTACAATTGATTTATCCACGTCGTCGAGTACAGACGACGCAATTGATCCCTGTCGCTCTTTCCATGGATCGTTGAACGTCATTTTTTCTTTTTTTTCTTCTTTCTTTTTTTTTTTTCAACCCTCGCCCCGATATCTTTCTAGCCTACTAGACCGATTACCCACGAATTTTTCAAAGTTTTCGATTGTCTGTCGTGTATTCCATAATTGATCGAATACAAAAGACATGTCTTGTGTATGTGTGTGTATATATTTTTTCTTCGGAGAAAGATAAAGATGTAGATTCTTTCTCCAGAATTGTAGAACATCGAAAGAATTGATAGAATCTAATACCACGTGAAATATTCCACGCTTATAACGTATGCATTCGAATACCGTGGAGAACGCTTTCATTTCCAGGAAATCGTGCGCAGAGAGATCGGATCTATGGAGCCAGTCAATAAACATAAATGTATATGCGGGTAGAATATTTTATACTAATGTAACGTTAATACAATGAATTCGATTCTGAAACTAAAACGTAATGGAATAACGTAGAAAGTCACGTTATATATCTATCGGAAACGTTAAAATTCGTGTATTCGTGCCGATACAGATAGATCCAATCTATGCAACGATTCCAACCTTTCCGACTAAATATTAATTTAGCATTACAACTCTAAATCTCTAAGTATATTTAAATACGTAGTTACCGTATTACCTTGCTTTCGATTTAGACCTTGAATTCGTGCGCTTTGTAGTCGTGATCATCATCGATTTCAGTTTCGATATTCTGGAAAAGCGAACGGTATATTTCAAAGTAATTTTCGTTTCGATTGCAGCGTGCAGTTTTCGAGGAAATCGAAATGGTCGAGCTGTGCGGAAGCGGGCAACCGACTTCAGCGATGGGAGTGATGGGGATCGGTTCGGTGGTGTCCGCGGCTACGTCGTCCTCGTCCTCGTCTACGACCACCACAGCAGCCTCGTCCTCGGCGTCCGGACGTGCCGGGGTCTTAGAGACGCAAGTTCGTGGTCAGTGGTATCGCGTGTTCGTCTCGTTGGAGGACGATTATCTGAGCATCTCGTTGGACGAGAGCTGCGAGACGGGCAACAACGCCCTGAACAACGGTAACATAAATAACAACAACGTGGATAGCCTGAACGATCCGGACGTGCCGGACTCGGTGGCCAATCAGAAACGTATCGTGCGCGTGGTGAAAAGCGACAACAACGGTCTCGGGATCTCGATCAAGGGTGGAAAAGAGAACAAAATGCCGATCTTGATCTCGAAGATTTTCAAGGGGATGGCGGCGGACGCGACCGAGCAGCTGTACGTGGGCGACGCTATATTGGCTGTAAACGGGGAGGATCTACGCGAGGCGACCCACGACGAGGCGGTGAAGGCGTTGAAGAGGGCCGGCAAGGTCGTCGAGCTCGAAGGTGAGTGAATTACCGAAACGTATTCCTCCTTCATTTGCATGCCTTTTTTTTTGCGCGCGATCGAAACGACTGTGACCGAGACCGAGTGGTTTGACCGGTATCCGTTTATCCGAACAGGTTTCTTACATATACATACACATAAAATCGATATTGCTCGTTCTTGGAAGGTGAAAAAGCGAAGGCAGTAAGGTCATCGGTTAGTCGACGACGATATAGAGAAGATTGGACACACGATCGGGATAGGTTGAGTAAGACGGCAGATACGAGAGAGAGAAGATGGTAGATTTCTAAATGTCACGTAACGGATTTCTCCTGTTTGGAGAACGGTGTAATCTTCCGCAATGTATTTCTTATTCCTTTGAAAGGCTTTGATAATCCGGCGGATCAGTGTTTAACGTTGCCTTCGTAAATAGCAGGGCCCGGTTCTCTTAAACCGAATTCGATAAACGAATTAATCCGGGAACATCGAACACGGTTCCTGTGTTTCCCTTTGAGCGTTAATTCGCGGATAATTAATAGCCGTCGCGCGTTGCGGCGAAATCAGGATGCCCGCGCTCTCGACTCCAGCAAGGAATCCTGGAAACGGGAGTGTAAACGCGAACGCAGATTCATTTAGCGACGTGCGTCGTCACTCGAAGCGTCGAAACGTTCGGCCGGAAGTGGAAGCAGCTAGGCTAGGCTAGGAAGCCATCGTAGCCAGACGATGGGTGGCGGGTTAGGGGGACATTAACGAGGTTTTCGCTCCAATTAGCCCCGAGTACACGGTGCATTAAGTTTCGACGTAGAGATTCCTGCCAGTTTCTGCAGCTCGTTTTAATATCGAATTCCCTGTCTTTGAACCGGAACTCGTGCCATTTGGACGGGCTCGTAACTCGCGTTACCCGAGAACGAACGAGCCACTGTATCGCCACTGTAGCGAAATTCTTCGCGAGGAAAGAGGATGCGACGAGAGCGAGGGGGGGGGACGGACAATGATCGTGCGTCGAGAGAGGAACCTTTTAGTCTAATTAATGCACCGTATAATTCCTGGGGCTCGTTCATCGGATGTTTTTTTCGAGAGATATGGTAGAATGGAAGAGAAATCTCGACGATTCTTTCTTCGGTTTCCGGTTTGAACGCGAACGAGGATGGAAATAGGTGTGATTTCCGCGCGAATTCTCGCGCTATCGTACACCTCCGGTATTATCAAAAAGTGTGAGGCTAAAAGAAACAGCGCGGGGTGAAAGGTCGGCGAGGAAACGTGTACCGTGCTGCCTAGAGCGTTAAATGGCGCCTTCTCTCCCTTCTTTCTCTCTCTCTCTTTTCTTGTTTTTTCTCTTTTTTTTTCTACCGCCTTTTCTTTCCACGCTTTTATTTTACTTCCTTTGTGACGGGCTATCGTTTGTTTCTCGTACGAATCTGTTACGAACGACACAAGCATGCCCAGTGAAGCGCAACGCGCGCTCTTTCTCGTGTTGCACATGCTCGTGTGTCCGCCTGCACTTTGCATTTAACGTTTTCCAGCCGATGCGCGACACGTGTACACGTGTGTGCACGTACATCTCTCCCCTACATTCGACTATACATATATAGATATTCTATACACGAGCAAGCCGATGCGCGCGGCCACGTTGCACCGCTCCGGGGCTTTCAGCGCTGCCAGCTCCGGCGCGC